GTGGTAATAAGAGCCTCTACTAGGTGGGCATCCTCAAAGCCCCCTCCCCCATCTGCCCCATCTGGTTGAGCTTCGGGGCAGGCATAGAATCTTTGCCTGGGAAATGACCTTAGAGGTCATCGAGTCTAACCCCCTACCTTTCTTCCCGAGGGTAAAAGCAGGAATAACCTGCTTGTTTGAGTGAATGAATGGGGAGGGGGAAGGGGGAAGGAGTTGGTCCAGTTTGAGCTATTGGAGGTGATAGGTCTCCTGCTCTCGGGGAGCCCCCTTCAGTGCCTGATGTCTCATGTAGTTTTGCCCAGCAGCAAGAAGTGGAGGAAGAGGAGGCTATGAAGCCTTAGTCGGCCCTTGGGGCAGGGAGCCTGGGGGCTACTACATTTCCCTTTTTCTATCTGATATCCTGGAGCAGGTTCCCTCCTCCCCCCCCCCCCCCGGCCCCTCACCCGCACCCCTCCTTTGCTTCAGAGCCTGCTATAAGGAAGGCACTCTCCTTGTTAGAGCTGTATACACCTGCAGGCGGGGAGGCAGTCCAGTTCTCTTGGGAAGAGGGTCCTCTGTGTTAGAGATGCCCTCCTCCTTGTGCTCTCTGCCTGGAGTAGGTCATCCCCATCCCTTTCTCCCTTCTCCAACCCCCCTCATCAGCCAGTCCCCAGGATGTTTTCTATCTCCCTGTGTGTTCTCCTTCATATTCCACAGGCCTGGCTATGGAGGTCACGTGGGCAATGCTGTCTAGTCCAGGGACCTTTTCTCCCCCTTTAATTAAATAAACAAAAGCCCTAGTGTCTTGTGTAGCCCCTCTCTTTGTGCTTCCCTGGATCCCCACGCCCCTGACCCATGAGGTCATGCTCAGACACTGTCAGCCGGGCTGCGGGGCTACTGGGATAATTTGGTGCTCAATTCTGGCCCTTGCTGTCTTGGCTGACTTTCACTTAACCTTTTTCTCCTTTTTCCTTTTGCTTCTCTCCTTCCTTTCTCTTATTTCTCTTCTCTCCTTTCTTCTTCTTCCTTTTCCTCTCTCCTTCCTCCTCTCTTTCTCTTTTCTTATACTGGGACATCAGTGTCTCTGGCCTGTACCCAGCATACTCCAGCCCTTTATTCATTTGGGGTAAAGAGAAAAGCCCAAAATATGTCAGGGAAACTGAAACAGCTGAATGGAGAATTCTAAAATATGGTATGAGAGTGGGCCTTTTAAAAGCCCCCCTCCGCCCTTTTTACAAGTCCCAGTGTGAAGCTGAGCCCATGTTTCTAGGAGGAAGAAGCCCTTGAACTCTAGCAGAGAGATCACCAGCCTGACCCAGTGGTCACTGTATTGACCAGACAAGTTTTTTTAAAGATGTTTTTATTCCTGAAGGGGTGGGGGTGCTGGACAGCTTGGTTCAGTGGAAAGCTTGGGAGACTTTGAGGCCTTGTGCTACTTTGTAACCTTGGGAAAGTCCTTTGAAATTTCTGGGCCTCTGTTTCTCCACTGGTAGAGTGGGACAGCTGGTCCCCATCTAGTTTACTTCATAGGATTGTAGGGATCAGGTAAGATAATGGATATGAAAGTACTTTGGAAAGGATAAAGTGTGATACGATGTTATTAACTGGAATTACATTCTTCCTCTGTAGCCTGAGGTTCCCAGAATGTAATTTTCCTGGGGAATGAGCTGCTGCCTTCCAGAGCTAGTGCTTCCTTCAGGGAAGGAAGGCAGGCAGAAAGGACTTTATCATTAATGGTGATGATAGGGATTTCTGTGTCTAGGGTGAGAGGGATGTGGTTGTGGCAGTGAAAGTGCGGAGGCCCTGGGTAACTGACAAATTTTTGCACATCCATCACACTTGTGACTTGTGCATTTCTCTTGCATTCCCAGTTCTCTCCAGCGTATCTGAAAATGAGATACCCCTCATTGAATCAAAACAGCTTAGTCCTGCCCTTTGATCTTTACACACCAGGGGAACAGGGTTCGGCGCTCAAATATGAAGAGATCTGACCAAGTCACAGTTAATTAGTGGCTAACATGGGACAAAAACCTGGGTTTACTTGTCTCTTGGTCAAGTCAACAAACATTTATTAAGTGTCTTCTATGTGTCAGGTGCTGTGCTAAGTGCTAGGGCTACTTAGGCAAAGAAAGGCAAAAATAGTCCCTGCCCTCAAGGAGCTTACAATCTAATGGGGGATACAGCATGCAAACAACTGTGTACAAACAAGACACATACAGGAGAAACTGGTGATAAGCTCAAAGTGAAGGACTTAGTGTTGATGGGGACTAGGAAAGGCTTTGTACAGGTGAGATTTTAGCTGAGAACTGGAAGAAGCCTGGGAAGTTAGGAGTTCGAGGTGAGGGGGAGAGATCCATTGATTATATTATGCTACTGCCATTCTCCATTGAATCTGAACCTGGTTTTCCTTCTGACTCAATGTACTACCCCTAACTTCCCCCAAATATGAAGACTTGTATCTTAGGAGTATGGAGGAAACATGCATTGGTTAGAGGGCACTGTTTTCCTGCCATCTGTCTCTCCAGGGACAATGTCTCGTCTATTCTCATCCCAGAGCTGCCATCCTTTATCTCCATGGTCTGTTGCTGAGGAGGGGGAGAAATTAGTTCTTACTTGATGACCTACATGCAAATGAGTACATGGTTAAGTCATAGGATGATAATAATACTAGCTCATAGTTAGTGTTTATATAGGGCTTTCAGGTTTACAAAGCATTTTACAGGGGCAGCTAGGTGGCACAGTGGATAGAGCTCCGGCCCTGAAGTCAGGAGGCCTTGAGTTCATATTTGACCTCAGATCAAACACTTGACTCTTACTAGCTGTGTGACCCTGGGCAAGTCACTTAACCCCAATTGCCTAAAAAAAAAAAAAATTTTTTTAAAGTTAAAAAATACAAAGCACTTTACAAATATTATTCTCACAACAACCTTGAGAGGTAGGTACTGTTATTATCCCCATTTTACAGATGGGGAAACTGAGGTAGACAAGGTTAAGTGACTTACCCATGGTCAAACAGCTAATAAGTGTACGAGGCTGAATTTGAACTCAGGTCTTTCTGACTTCAGGTCCACAGCTCTATTCACTATGCCACCCAACTGCCTATCAAAGATTTCTTAACCCTTTAATTTTACATATTAGGAAACTGAGGCCCAGAGAAGTTAAGTGATTTGTCCAGCTGGTGAGTTACTAAGTGTCTGAGGTGGGATTTGAACCCAGGTCTTCTGGACTCCAAGTCCAGTATCATATACACTAGATTATGCTGCAGCTTGGGTGGTGAGGAGAGGGGCTGGGAATGTTTCTATAGAATATAAAAGCAAAGGAAAGTGTTATATAATAATGAATATATAACATGGAAAGTGGGAAACTGATATTTAATAACAAAGTAGAGACAGGAGAAATACCTTCTACAAATCTAACAAATAACTGGATTTTTTTGGAGAGAGGAAAGGTGGTATATAGAGAAGAAAGAACTCAAGACCTGGAGCCAGGAGACCTGGGTTGAATCCCATCTCTCTTCCTTTCTGGGACTCAGTTCTCTCACTGTGAGGAGATCAGTCCAGATGAGGGGTTTTTAACTGGGGCTCCATTGTATCTCTAAGGTGACCCTGAACTTAGATGGGAAAAAATTGATATCTTTATTTCAACATAATTGGTTTCCTTCGTAGTATTACATATTGTGTTTTATACATTTAAAAGCATTCTTCTTAAAAGAGGTTCATAGGTGTGGCTGGATTGCCGGAAGGGTTCATAACACAAAAAAGATTTAAGAACTCCTGGTCTGTAGAATGTCCAACATCCCTGCCAGTTCTAACAAGTGGAGTTGTTTCACTTTCCCCATCTGTAAAGTGGGGATAATAAAGCTTCTGCTGATGCTTTCACACAATGAGGTATTCTATAAATTTAAGCTGCTATTTGAAGGTTAATTGGTTATTAAATCAATTGAATATCCCTCTTCTCTCCTTACCATTCCCTTTCTCTTTGGTGGGAAGGGAGCCTGTGTCCTGGATGGGGGTGGGGAGGGAAGGTGGAACTTTGTCAGCAGACAATTGTGCTCTTATAGCAAGGCACAGAACGGACAGAGAAGGGGGGTACTCTGGCCAGAAAGACTTGGGTACAGGGATTTGAGGAAGAGTGTGGGTGGGGAGTTTAGGGTGATGTTGAATGACAGGGACAGACTCTGGTCATTATTTAGGATCTTTTCTCAGCAGTGAGTTAGTGACCAAGGTAGGCCTTGAACCCAAGTTTCCTGACATCAAGCTGAGGTTAAGGAGCGTGTGGCTAGCGGAGCTGGTTTCAGTTCCACCAGGGTTGAAAATGGAGATAAGTGTGGTGCGTAATAAAGCACTAACCTTGGAGTCAGAAGACCTCACTGTGAATCCTGGCTCTGCTGTTTATTAGTTGTGTCTTTGGGCCAACTGTAGCACCTTTCTGTGCCTTGGTTTCCTCAGTTTGATAAGTGGAGATAACACAACCTACCTAATGGGGTTGTTGTGAGCAGAGAGCTCTTTGTAAACTTCAGAGTGCTATATAGATGTCAGCTGCTATTATTTTTATTTAGCCCTGGAGGTCTTTCCACTCCATCATCTTTAGTCTGCCTTTCCAATTGGGAACAGTTGTAAGCTCCCTTGGAGTGCCCTTTCTGCCTTTCCCCTTTTCTCTGCTCTTTTTCCCCTTCCCCTCTTCTCCATTTTCCTACCTACCACCCTTTTCCCAAATGAAAGTATCAGGTGTTGTGCTTGGGTCTGGGGGTTAGAAAACATTGTAATTCCATTATTTCTCCATTCCCCAAACATATAGATGCCTCAACCCTGGCTGAGCAGCATTCATGTATCTGAAAGATTATTTGGAGGTGGAAACTGAATAAACATGATTATGTGTTTGTGTGTATGTGTGGGTTGGGGTAAGGTGGGGTCTTGCCTTCGAAGACTATGTTCTCTGTCACCTTGCAGGTTGTAGTTGGGGCTCATGCCCTAATAGATACAACATCTGAAACCTGTTAAACTGTATTATTTCTCTGACAGGTTCATGACATCAAATTCCAGGCTCAGAATGGGGAGGAGAAGGAGTCCTGGATCAAAGCCCTCAATGAAGGTATCAACAAAGGCAAGAACAAAGCCTTTGATGAGGTGAGAATCCTAGGCTGGAACTGGAACAGTCTTGGGGGTCATCTAGCCTGCTGCCCTCATTTTACAGAGAAGGAAACTGAGTCTCAGAAAAGGGAAGTGACTTGCTCAGAGCCATAAAGACTGGTCAGCAGCAGAAGACGGTGGGTTTGTCTCGGCTCTTGCTTGGCCCTTTCTCCACCTGGGATCAGTGGGCAGGGTTGCCCATGGTATGAGTGTGATTTTTGAAGAGGCCAGAGACAGATCCACTAGCTTTGAAATCTACCCCAAGCTGGGGCAGCTAGGTGATGCAGTGGATAGAACACTGCCCTGGAGTCAGGAGGACCTGAGTTCAAATCTAGCCTCAGATACTTACTAGCTATGTGACCCTAGGAAAATCACTTAACCCTGATTGTCTCAAAGAAAAGAAATCCATCCCAAGTGCTTTGTCTATCTTAAAGGGGAAAAAAAGATACAGGCTAGCCCTTTGGTTTTACTGGAGTAGAGAGCCCTGGCGAGAGGAAGCTCCCTCTGCTAGTGTAGGTCAGCATCTTCTCTGGGACATCTCTGACACTCTTAGACAGTTGCCCAGGGCACTGAGCAGTTACGGGATTTGCCCAAGATCACAGTGGCAAGGGGTAGCAAAGGCAGGAATCCGAACCTTGACTCTTTATCCACTCCCTCACATTGCCTCTCATAAATGTAAGTTGTTATTCCTTCCATGAAAAGAATTGCTCTGATGTGGCAATCAGGGTCATCACCCAGGGTCCTCCCAGTCTGGAAAGGCTTTGGATATGGGCCCATGCACAGACTGTTCATCTCTCATCTGAGGACCAGGTTTCCTAAATTCAAAGCATCACCATGAAATGGCCACAGGGTGATGAATTTTTATCAACAGTCTCCCAAGTGGTGTAGGGGTTATGTTGTGTATCAGTGGAGGGGGACCCACTCCGGTGAAATCACAAATCTTTGAAGCATTGAAAATAAGTCTTGCCATTGATTCCTTTGGGAAAAGACATTACCTCCTGCCAAAGTATGAATACCTGGGAAGTAGCAGTTCATTAAACCTGTTATCAGTGAGGTGCAGCTTAGTTCAAGTTAGTCAGATCCTTTCCAATTATTGGCAGCAAAAGGCTAGGATGCAGGATATAGAAATTCAAATAAGGAAAGACAGATATTCTGGTATAGTGGATAGAGACCTGATCTTGGAGTCAACAGTATTTGGGTTCGGTTCCCACTTTTGCCTTTGGACCCTGGGTGAGTCACTTAACCTTGGATGCCCCCATCTTGCTGTCTAAAACTGTAAATTACAATGAAGTTGTTAGCCTGAATTAGTGGAATTTCTACACTAAGCATTCCCTAGGCTAATGAAATCATAGGCTGGGATCAAAAAATAAAAACCAAAAATAGAGGGTACGGACTGTGGCCAAGGGAAAAAACAGTCCTGAGGATTAAGGGGCTCTGGGGTGTTAGCCAAAGGCCAGCCTTGCCTTTAGGACCCTTAGAGCCTGTAGTGGGTCTTCTGATATGATTGTAGCCATAGCTACACACCCTACTTCCTTCCTTTTTCCTTTCATGCTGGCATTGAGGCTTTGAAAGAACTGAGAATGTCAGCTTTGACCTATAGGCTCCTAGGATGATAAATTTTGAATTGGAAGGAAACTCAGAGGTCATTTATTCAAGCCCTTTCTCCCTATTTTATAAATGAGGAAACTGAGGCCTGGAGAAGTTAAATGATTTTCCCTATGTTGCATAGATAGTATCTGTAAGAGCTGGGATTCTAACCCAGGTCCTCTGACTCCAAATCCAGCCCTCTTTCCACCCTACCACCTCCCTAGGAAGATCCCTACTGACTGCCTCATGCTGTTGGCCCTTTGAGGAGGTTCTTCATTGTCACATGAAGATAGACCATTGTGATTGACCTACCTGTTGAGGGTGTTGCGGAGGCTATGGGTTGGTTTTGATCTCTTTGGTGGTGTTCCTGAGAGTGCTGCAAAACTCATGAAAGCTGGGCTTAGGCAAGGATTGAGAGTGATTCCCATTGTAGCAGCACCAAGCAGTTGACTCTTCAAAATGGAGTAAGATTCACACTCAGGTCAGGTTAGGCCTTTTTCTCCTTCTCTCTCCTGTCCTCATCTTTTCCTTCTCCTCTCCCTCCCATCTTCTCTTCTCCCTTTTACTCTCTTCTCCTTTCTTCCTTCCCCTTCCTTTCCTTTTCCTCCCTTTCCCTTCCTCCCTTTCTCCCTTTTCCCTTCCTTCCATCTGCTTTCCTTTGTTTCTGTGCTGTTTTAGATGGAGACCATGCCTATTGTGTCTGAAGTAGGAGACTGGTGTCCATCCATCCTCCGGTGGTGGACAGCTTCCTGTGAGCCTAGGGAGTGCTGTGGAAGGCCAGGGCTCCATGGCACGGCCTGTAATGCAACTGGATGTTTCCTGAGGCAGATTTCTAGTGAGGCGGAGGTATAGGAATGTGACAGATACTGTCACTCCAGTTTGGCTAGGGAATAATTTTGGGGGTATAGAGATTGCTATCCCAGTTGAATAGATGGAGAAACTGAGGTACAGAGATGGGATATGATTTGCTGATGTGTTCCTAGTGCCTCTAGAGGTACTTGACAGTGATGAGGAGAGATGGAAAAGGGCAACAAGGAGGGTCCCTGGAGTTTTTGGAACCCTGTGTTTCCTTCAAAGCTTATCTTATGCACTACCTTCTATGTATTTACATATGTACATATATATATATATATGTATATAAAATCTCCCCCAATAGAATGTAAGTCTCTTGAGGACAGGAGTGGTTTCATTTTTATCTTTGTATTCCCAGCACCTAAAACAGTGCCTAATCTATAAATTACTCTCTAGATATATAATCTATATATTAATAAACACTTGTTGATTAGTTGGAGTCCTTTTAGATTTAATTCCAGAGCATTTTTTTTCTTCCTTCTTAGGCTTTGAGCAGACAACTGACTCTAGTCTCATTAACATTTTCAGGTTAAGGTGGACAAGAGCTGTGCCCTGGAACATGTGACCCGGGATCGGGTGAGAGGAGGACAGCGGCGCAGGCCACCTACAAGAATCCACTTGAAAGAGGTGTGGACCATTCTGGCTGTGGCTGAGACCCTTCAGACTGTAACTGAAGTTTGGGCAGCACTCCCCACAAATATCTGCCTCTTTCCCCTGCTAGTCCTACACACACACACACACACACACACACACCAGGGGTGACTACAATACAGGCATGGGGAAGAAGGAGGGTGGGGTTTGTATAGCTCCTTTGTCATCAGACAACAGCTGGTGAGGTCTGGGGGGCCAGCATCCCCAGAGATTACGTCTTTGTCCATTAGAATCCCCTCATCCTGGGGAAGGGGGAAGGGTCAGTATCAGTATCAGGCACAGGATAGTGCCTGGTACAGGACCACACTGTGGCTTTGTCCTGGGCCCCTGGATAGGCTGGTGTTTTAGTGCACATCGTGGAGGCCATATACCTCCGTGAGATGAAATAGGGTCACAGTTAGGGTCCAAAGGAAGGGGACTTTTATTTAACTTAGATAAAGCTGGAGGTATAACTGTGAATATGTATATGCATGCATTTGTGAATCTCAAATGTATGTTTGTGGGCCTGAGGGGTCATGCTTGCATATGTGTGACTGTGTGCCTGTTAGCTTCTGGGTGTGTATAACAAAACACAACAACAATAATAGAACATTTATTAAGCACCTACTATGTGCTGGGGATACAAATAAAAACAAAGACAATCCTTGCCCTCAAGGAGCTTACAACCTAATGGGAGGGGGGAGGACAACACATAAAAGGTAGCTGAAAAGTGAGGAAAAGGAAGGGATGGATACCCAGTGCAGGGCTGGGGGGTGGGGCAGGGAGAGCTCCATGGAAATCCAAAAGCAGAGTACCTGGTGAAAAATGTAGAGAAAAACTGTTCTGAGCTGTGTGTGTGTGTGTGTGTGTGTGTGTGTGTGTGTGTTTGTGTGTATCTGTGAGCCAGTCTAAGAGGCTATGTTTATCATCTAGACGTTCATTCAGTAAGTACTTTGGTGCTATCTGCTATGTGCTGTATAGCCCTTTGAGAGGCACTGAGGGGCATTCAGAAGGTTTATAATATGGGCTTTCTCAGGGAGCCTATGGCCTAGTTGAAAATAGAATGTATATATGTATGTGAAATGGCATGAGTAATAACAACAATAATAGCCGACATTTATAGAGTGTTTTAAAGTTTGCAAAGTATTTTACATGTACTAAACTACAAATGTGATCCTCACAGCTACTCAGTGAGGTAGTTGTTATTATCCCCATTTTAGAGCTAAGGAAACTGAGGCTAAGGAGAGGTTGCCCAGGTTCACACAACTAGTAAGTGTCTGAAGCTGTCTTTAAACTCCTATCTTCCTGACTAAGAAGCTAGCTTAGGGCTAGAAATATAGATTTGGGCATCATTTGTGTAGAGGGGATAGGTGAAGCAGTAAGCATGGATGGGGTTGCCAAGGGAGAGAAGAGCAAAGAGCTGAGACCAGAACTTGGGGAATATCCACTGCTAGGGAGCTAGAGGAGGAAGAGGAGCTGATGAAATGGTCATAGAGGTAGGAAGAGAACCAAGCAATCAACCAGCATTTATTAAGTGCCTGTTATGTGATAAACACTGGGGATAGACAAAAACAAAAGTCCTTACCCTCACAGATTTCATGTTCAATCATATTTTATACACACATACACGTATATATCTATATATATGTGATGATAGAAGATCATATAGAGATAGAATATATATGTTCATGGGTGTGTCTATATGTGTAGACACACAGAGTTATATTATACTAAATTAATGCAAGGTAATGAGTGAGTGGGGAGGGGAAGAAGTCACTAGCAGCTAGGAGAACCAGGAAAGACTTAATGCAGCATGTGGTGCTTGAGCTGAGCTTTGAAGGAAGCTAGGGATTTTGGGAGACAGAGCCAAGAAGGAAGTATATTGAAGACATGGGGATCAGCCAGTGCAGAGACACGGGAGATGGAGTGCCTTGTGGAAGGGACAGTAAGAAGACCAGTTTATCTGGACTATAGAGTGTGTGAAGGAGAGTTATCACGTACAATAAGGCCAGAAAGGAGGAAGGTTGTGCAAGGTGTTAAATATTGCACAAAGGAGCCTCTAACTCATTTGATCCTAGAGGTGATAGGGAACCACAGGAGTTTTGTGAGCAGGGGCAGGCCTAGGCTGTGGAAAATCACTTTGGTAGCTATGTGAAGGATGGTTTGGAGAAGGGAAGAGACAAACAAGGAGGCCATTGCAATACTGGCACAGTGTCCTAGTGTTCCAAAATCTAAGAGGAGAGAATTTGAAGTGGGAGAGTCCTGGTAAGCAGTGTCAAATGCAGCAACAGGTCAGAGGGTAGGGGAAAAAGCTATTTGATTTGGCAGTTTGGGTGTCATGGTGATCTTTGAGAAAGTCGTTTTAGGGGCAGCTAGGTGGCTTAGTGGACAGAGCACCTGAGTTCAAATTTGGCTTCAGACACTTAGTAGCTGTAAGACCCTGGACAAGTCACTTAAGCCCATTTGATTCCAAGAGAGAGAGGGAGGAGGAGGAGAAAGAGGAGGAGGCGGCAGTGGGAGTAGACCACTCATTCAGTAGTTTGGGTGTGAAAGGAAGTAAGGAAATAAGATCCTGACCACAGGAGAAAGTGAAGGTTGTTTCCAAAATTGGGAAAAGCTGATCATGTTTTGGGGCAGGAGAGAAGCTGGTAGCTAGAGAGAGCAAGAGTGAAGTTGCTGGAGAGAACTGAAGGACCCAAGTCCCAGCGGGGGTAGAATAGGCTTCAAGGTCAGGTCAAGAGGCAAGGAGAAGGGAAGGAGAAGGCTGTACGTCTGAGTGTCTTTGTGGTTGGACAGTTGGAGAGAATCTCTGGGTCTTAGCCATTAGACTGTGCAGTGGGAGTGCCCCCGCTCAGATGTTACAAGAACCTGAAAGAACCTCTCTGGAGAGATCAGTATCCTGGGTACAGAGGAGGGATCCCTGCTTTGCAGAACCTCCCTGGACTCCCCAAAGATCAGTGAGACCTTGAACAAGCTTCAGGAGCTAGTCATCATGAACCAGCTCCACAGAACCCTCAAGACAGGCAGGGAGGTCGGGAGAAAGAGGGACTTTTTGGTATGTTTATTATGCAACTGTTTTCTTTCCTCCTGAAAATAAACTGTGGTTTGGGGGTTGGCCCTTGCTTAACCTTTGGATTTCTCCTGTGTTTGGGACTTTTCATTCTTCCCTCAAGGGAGAACGTTCCTCTGGATAACAGGCCCAAGGACTCACTGGATTAGGAATTACTTGGGAATAGCTGTGCCAATTCACAGAGCCAAGACAGGGCACCTCAGAGCAGGGTCTCTGGGGAAACTACTGAACTGTTTTGGTTTTTTCTTCTCCTAAATAGGACCCTAATTCATAACAACTTCCTGTCTGCGACAGACAGTGCCAGGTTTCTTCTCAGACCTTTGTGAAACCTGGAAGAGGAAGGGGGAACCAGTCTTCCCTTACACCACTGTTCCCATCAGATGCAATATACTTCCCCTAGAAGGTCAGGCATACCTGAGTCTAGAAGGAAAAAAAATGTAGCCTGTTAAGAAAAGGACTTGGGAGGGGAATGGGGGTGGGTGGAATACATCTGAATTTTGCTGCTGATCAGTTGTAGAACATGTCCTTTCACTACTTTTGTGCCTCAGTTTCTCCCAATATGTAGTGGTATAACTGGACATAGGGTGGTTGGAGCAGGAGCTCTAGACAGAACTCAGATGGAATTGCAGAGGGGATTTACTGACCCTGCAACCCCTCCCCAACATTCCATCTGAAGTAGGGTGGTAGTAGAGAAAGGGTGAAAAAAAAAACTTACTTGAGGAAGAAAGAGACACTGGGCAAGAGGTATAAGAAGGATGATGGAGAATGGGAAACAGGACTGGCACTTTGTTGATGCAGGTCTTAGAAAATAGGCCTTTACTGAATCACTTGGGCATTTCCCACTTTTTCCACCTAATGATATTTATGAAGCTCATGAGACTATGAATAGTCTCAAGGAAAATAACAAGTTTCTGTCATAGAATTTTAGAGTTGAGAGGAACCTTACTGATCCTTTTGTCTAAACCCCTCATTTTACATATGAGGAAACTGAGGCCCAGAGAGAAGAAGTAACTTGTCCCAGGTTATACAGTATATTAGTGAGAGATCTAGGATTAGGACTCAGGCATCCTGAGGTCCAATCTAGTGTTCTTTTCTGTTAATATTTACACAAGCTTTTCCTGCTGGCCATCTTCTTGCTGGTGCCCAGGTAGTTGACTGACTTATTGACTAGAGTGGCTTCCTTGATTTCCACTTAACTCAGTGGACTTGAGTTTGGTTCATTGTCTTTGTTCAAAATTCTTCCTCGCTAGAGGAATATTATTGTCCATGATGTCCTGGGAATAGTTTTTTTTTTCCCAAGATGGTGGTACTGTGAAGCTGATGTGGGAAAAACCATCTCAATTTGGTAGGGAAAAGCCACAGTTTCATGGACCCTGCTCATTCTCATTCTCTCCTTCTCTCTCCATTTTGCTCCCCAAGTACAGACTAAATTCACCAAATGTAGACTAAACTACACTCAGGTAAACCCGACTCAGAAGAAATCAGGCCATAGCTCTGAAGGAGATAGTCAAAGAGTCATAGAACATTAGCAGAAACCTTAGAAGTCCTCTAGTCAAAATTGAGGCCCAGAGATGTTCAGTGACCTGCCCACAGTCACATAATTGGCCAGGCTTGGTGGCCCATCCCTATAACCCTATTACTTGGGGAGACTGAGGTTGGTGGATCCCTTGAGCTTGGGAGTTCTGAGCTGAAGCTGATTAGGCATTTGAGCTAAGTCCAGAACCAATAGGTGGTTCCTTGGGAATAGGGGCCTTACCCCTATTATAGGGGCCTAATGAAGGGCAAACTGGCTCAGGTCAGAAATGGAGCTCATCAAAGCTTTTGTGCAAGTAAGCAGTAGGATCAGGTCTGTGAGTGGTTGCTATACTTCCAGCCTCTGAAAAGCCCCCCAAAACATCAAACAAAAAAGCCTTAAAGTCAGTTACTAACATAACTGAGACTGGAACCCAGTTCTCCCGCCTCCCAGCTCAGTGGTCTTTTTCCATTTGTTAAGTATTATAAATAATAAACTCCATCTTTCCTGTCTATTCCGATACCTCTGGAATGTCATAGAATCCTGTTGTGTGTATATGGGGTGTAGGTGGGGGGCACAGGGGAGAGTCAATGCCTGGTAACTCTGAAACTTTCCTAAAACAATTGCTTGATCCCCCTGACCCAGGTGATTTGACAAGAGCATTAATGCCATTCGTAAGCTTTCCTCGCCACTCTCTGCATTGCCTTCTCCTTGCCTGGAACAATAGTAGTTGTGGAAGATGGCACTCAGTCTCTCCTCTTCTCTCTCCCAACCAGGTGGCCAGTGCTGCGTCAGATGGGCTATCAAGGCTGGACCTTGACATGCCAGACAGTGAGCCCCCCTCTTTCACTTCCAGCAACAACATCAGCGATTCTCCCCCTACAGAGATACCTCGACCACCCATGCCTCCAGCCAAACCCTCCCAGCATCCAGAGAAGGCAAATTTGGAAGATAGTGCTGAAAAACCAGAGGCGGAGGAGAGCATCCCAACTCCTGCATCTGATAATCCCCAGGACCATCCTGAGCACCAGGGTATGGCAGGAACAACTGAGGAGGACTTGGAAACCTCGACCCTGCCTGGGGGTAGTAAGGAGAACCTGATGGAAGGAAATAAGCCTCCTGAGCCACCTCCCAAGGTCCAGCCTGACAAACTGAAAGTAAGCTGGGAAAATCCAGGCCCAGAGCCTCCCACCCCTGTTGGCAAAGAATCAGATCAACCCACCAGTTCAGAGACTGCTTCCAAGGAGGGAGGGAAACCCCCGGCCCCTCCACCAAAGATCCTGTCTGAGAAATTGAAAGCATCTCTGAAGGGGAGTGAGACCACCAGTCTAGAGCAATGCCAGGACTCCCAGGCTTCCAAGACCCCCGATCCCGATCCAGCTTGCTCCCAAGTTTCAGTGAATGGCCTGACTGACAATGCGAATGGGGTCGAGCCCGTTCTAGAATCGAGTCTGCAGGGAGCTGTGAAGGATAGAGGCGACCAGAAGACTCCCCTGAAGGAGGGAGAGGGGCAGCTAACCCCTTCAGAGCCCAGCTCAGCCGTCTTAGAAGACAAGGGAGCCCAGGAGGGCTCAGGAGCAACCCTCCAGGACAGACCCCCTGTACTACCATCACTGCAGCCCCGATGTGCCTCCCTTGGGACCCTGCTGACCGAGAGTGACAAGGGTCAAGGCCTGCCCCGGGACAGGCGCCAGCTGGTCAAGATGGAGAAGAAGGTGACTTCTGAAAGGGAAAAGACTGAGCAGCTCTTGAGCCAGGTCCTAGGCAGGGAGTTGGAGCATGCCCAGGAGGGAAACGGACCCCCTGTCAATGCTGAGACATTGCTCAACCAGGCGGTAGAGCAGCTGAGGCAAGCGACCCAAGTCTTGCAAGAAATTAAAGTTTTAGGAGAACTGAACAAGGAACCACCGACCACGCTGACAGAGAAACAGAAAGAAAAGCAGAAGGACCTAGTGACTCTGTATAGGAGAAGTGCTCCCTAGGGCATGCTTAAGCACTTTTTTCTTCTTTTTTTCCCTTTTATGGTCTCCCTCAAAATTTTTATTCACCAGTGCTGTTACTGGGCCAACAGACGGTCATAAGACTGGTCTTGTCCCTACCCTTTGTCCAGCCACTTTCTTAGCAATGGCCCCCCTTCCCTCTTCTCTTTAATGTTCTCTTTCTAGTGAAGTCTTCTCTTCATCGATATGGAGGGATGACAGTCTGCTGGCTGGCAAATCAGTCGATCACATGTCTCCATCTCACAGCCCTGCAGGGTCTCCATCTAACCCCAAATAGCTGGATATACCCAGGATGCCTCAGGGTGCTCGGCCTCAGACACAGGGAAGGGGATCCTTGTCGGGGTGGCCATGAATATCCAAGCTCATCTCTGCTGTGTGGTCTCCAGCTAGAACATCTCTCCTTACCTTCTGGTCATCTGCATGCTCATTTGAAGGTGAAATCAGGCTGGTGGTGGACCAATCAGGAGAGGAAAGGCATCTTTGAAAGGAAGGCCAGTTATGCCCGAAGAGAACAGTCATACACTGTAACTGTTCTGGAAATTCTGTTCCCCCTCCTCTCAGTGTTGTTGCCTGACAATATCCACGGGTTGAGTCTAGAACTCAGGCTTTCCCAACGTGGTCTAGGCTGGAGCTGTCAATCAGTAGCCTAAGAGAGAGCTAGTAAGTGTCCTGGGACACACCATTTAGCCAGGATTCACCAGGGATCGATGGTCCCTACAGACTAGGCCAGTTGTATTTCTTGGGATGTGTTTCCCTCTGTCATTATCCTGATGCCCTACATGGGCAGCATAGAGAGATATGAGTGACGATAGTGTCCGCTACCCACTCAGGGAGAAAAGTCAAGGCTGCCTTTGATCATTCTTAATGTCTCAGTATTTGTTGTCTTAGCCACTTTGGTTTAGCTTTGGGCCCATTATTAGCCCTATGTCCTGAAGGGGGTTGTGGGTGTGCAAGAGTTTACATTCTGGGCTCCAGGGCACATCACCGCATCACTTTGTTGTGTCCTTTGGGGAAAGGGAATTTGGGGGCAACTTCATTTCATTGTTGTCCTTCAAGGACTATCTAGACGGACTATCTACCTATGTGTAGCGAAAAAGGGTTTGAGTCTTTCTACTTTTTGGTTCCTAAAACTCAAACCGTCAAGCTGAGACCCTTTCCCAGCCTGCTAGGGGGTTGCTGCTGCAGAATAAGGAGGGATAAGGAGGAGGAGTGCTGGTTGGCCTTAGGGGACCAATTAGCTATGGAATTCTGAGCCGACATAAGTTTCCATGATTCTCTTTGGAAGGGGTCTCAAGGGCTCACCTGGTTCATCCCCCTACTTTTGTGCAGGATTGTGACTCAGACTATCCAACTTCTTAAATTCTTACATTAATTTCAGTGGTCACTCAAAAGAACCATTTTTTTTAGACTGCAAAATAAACACACCTCCAGGAGGATCCTAATTTTTGTCCTCCGCAAGTGACATTTATATTTATGCCGTCTATATACTTAGCCTCCTCCCTTCACCTGGATTGGTTAAATAGCCTCCAAAGGTGTCAATCAGGCCACTTCTTGTAAATGACCACAAACATTCATTTGAGTGGTATTAGTTACAGTAATTGAACTGATGGAACATATCCTGAGAATGAATAATTCCTCTCAGCCATACCAGTGGATAACCAGGACAGCTCAGGCCAGGCAAGTGATTCTGGGTGATTTCCACCAAGGTCAATGTGGATGATCTGGGATAGAGTTGGATCTTGTGGTGACTTGTGCCCTCCTCTGTCCTCAACCTTTCTCCCTCCTAATCACACACCTACTTTTCCCTGGGGCTGGAGATTGTGAAGTGATAGGAATTACATTTTCCCTACCTTTCTTTCCCTAGCTTCGTAACTTTCTCCTCTTCCAAGGGTTTGTAGGGAGAGGAAGGGGCAGGGTGGTATAAGGAAGATGTCATAGTCAATTTGCTTTGTGTGTCACCACAGATTATTCATTTTACTCTTTGGCAATGTTTGCCTACCTAGTCTCACTCCCTCTATCAACCAAGACAGGATTCTGCATTTTCAGAAGCTGTTCTTGGTACCAATCAGCTGCTTCCCCAGGAACAGGCTGGAGCTCAATATCCCCAGGTGTATGTAACGAATAGTTACCTGTTATAGCCACAGAATGCCTGCTCAGGGGCCTAACCTACTCTGGAAATTTCACAAAAGGCCCCCCCCCCCCAAAGTCTATGCTGAGTTCAGACTTTTTCCAGGCCTTTTTTTTTTTTTTTTTTTTTTTTTGCATGAGCACTTTTTGTTTAGTGAAGGATTAGAAAAAGAGAGAACGCCACCATGGACCTTCCTAATAATGCAGCACCTGGCACAGTGCCTTGCATACAGTAGTCATTTAATGTTGGAATTGTGGGCTGGCCTTTGTCAAGCACGGGCATTGGCTACAGCAGAAATTAGTAATGCAAGTTGATGCCTTATTTACTGAAATTTTATCCTGTAACACAAGATATCGCCATGAGTAAGCTGGCCTTTCTCCAGGGTGGTGCTGGAGGTATGGGGTGTAATTGGACTCATTCCTAGAATTCTGCTTTAGAGAGGTGTATGGGGACTTGTTTGCTGACAGTCTTCAGCTCCCTCTAACTTTGAGACACACCTCGGTTGTCCACAACACTCAGGGTTGAATGGGGATGGGAGATGGGATGGATCTCCCATTCCTGGAGGTCACTGTAGGGCCTCCAATTACTGGCAAGTGACAGTAAGTGGGGCTCAGAGAGAAAAAGATGGGGGTCTCCAAGAGGAGGTGGCACTCTAGAGTAGGCAGCAGGCTTATATTTCATGTAAATAAGAGCCAATGTGTACATTATACAAAGGATTCCCACCATCCTCTCTTTCCCTATAGGGACTACCCTCCCCACCTCCACCTCTCTAGGGGTGTTAGTTTAAAAAACTGAATCATTGGTCTACATTGATCTGTTGCATCCTGTCCCAGTCAACTCCCTTTTAAGGCCAGTTTGGTATAAGCTGCACATATAGGGTTCCCCTTTCTTAATGAAAAAGGTCCTGGAAAGGGGTGAGGGGACAACAAATGTGAACGGTGGTGGCTTCACCCGCCTGGCCAGAGGAGGAGGAGAAATAGCGTTTCGTGTCTTTTGCTTCTAGTACACAACATAATTTTTGAGAGTTGGCAATAAAACCCCTTTTTAATTATGTCTCTGCTCTGGAGCTGTTTGTTGCTGATAAGACTTGTCAGCTGGGGAGAGAAGAAGGAGCAGAGGGCTTAGGACCAAAACTGGAACCCCTTGCAGACACTGAGCATTGGGTATTAGTGTCTTCTTGGTAATATCTATTGAAGAAAGATGGTCTTGCCAGCTCAAGTCCTTGAGATCCAGGCCTTGGAGAGATTCATTAACCCTTCTTTATAAGCTTGACTGGAAGTGCTATACCTTTTCTCAAGTCTTCCTTCTGAACTTCTGTCAGGCACCTTTCATTTTAATTCGCCCCCCCCCCCCCAGTTTTGTTCCACTGTTATTTTTCAGAACATGGAGGGGAATTGGAAATGGTTCCTGCAAAGGAGCTGGTGACTATAACAAGTGATAGTATGTGAGGACTGACCCCCACCCCCAGTCATCAGCATGGAAACAAGGAATGTCTCATGGCCATGTTCTTCAAAGGGCCCCACACCCCAGGCCAGCCAAGACCATGCTCAGAGTGTGATCCACAGGAGTGAGACAGTATGATAATAGGACCCCAAATCAAAAGGCCCCCTTTCATTGAACCAGAGAGCTCAGGCTTAGGGGAGGTAGCTCTCCCACCCTCTACTGCCCTGCTGTCTGAGCTGGTTCATGTATAGACCGTTCCCCCTGGTTCAGGGCCCCCAGTCTGTGAAACCTGATGGCTGGGGGAGGCTAGACCTCACAAGGGTTCTTAGCTGAGAAGTGGGTGGCCCAGCTTCTCTAGCTCTTAGTGTATTTGTTATTGAACTAACAGAGGTCAGGAAGAGAGCTATCAGTTCTTTTGAACCCCACAGCAGTTGAGGGGTGGGAGAGTGAGGGATAGGTATCTATCTTTAGGTCAATAGAAGCCTACTACAGTCAGAGAAAAATACTTTTTTGTTAAAAAAAAAACACACAAAAATAATTTCTCAGTGGTTTTAAATTCCAGATGTTTTGCAGAGGGTGAAATTTTTGACTGTATCCAAGGGGAAACTGAGGGAGAAAGCTCCATGGGCTGGGGAGCAGCAGGGGAGTAGTGAGTTGGGGGCTAAGGATGGGTTCTTCAGGACCCCTAAACTTTTCACCTCTAGGCATTACTAGGACTGAGGGGTGGCCAGTGAAAGCAGGCTGCCACCTTCTTAGCTTCCTGAAGCCATCCCACAGAGCACCTAGTACTTCTGAAGCTATCTAACCCGTCTGGGCTGGGAGGAGTCACAGACTGGCCTGCTCATCTCCACCCCACCCTCTTCCTTTCCTCCAAGGACCCAGAGAATCTCCCCTCACCCCAGCCAGCTCTGCAGTTTAGGCCAGCTACAGAGCTGCAAGGCACAGGAGGGAATGTTCCCTTATAAGGATAACTACAATGTCATGATGAAACTGTGACCCTGTCCTGCCCCAGCCCCCTCTGGCCCACCCCCAGGCCCTCCTGCTGGGGAGGGGGAAGGGGAAATGACTGTATTACAACTACTGCAGCTGACAGATAGCAGGAGCAGCCAGCATCAGCTGAGGCCCCACTCACCACAGGAACTCACACGCGAGGCCCCAGCCGCCCCTTTCCTCTTCCTGCAGAGAACAGAGGCCTTGGGAGCAGCCCTCGGAGCCCTGGGCTGCCTAGCCAGCTGAGGGGATGGGCTTCCTGGCCTCCTAGAGCCAAGAATAACAGGGAGGGAGGGCGAAAACCACACTTGGGGCTTTCCAGAGGTTCTGGGCCTGGACAGGACTCTGGGGCAGGGGAAGGAAAAGCCAAGAGACTGGCTTTGAGAGGCCAGAGCACTGAATTTGAGGACCCACTTCTGAATCAACATCTGACTTGTCTGTCACCCAAGCTTCAAGTTTACACTCCCCACCCCAAACTGCCCAGACTCATTGAGCTACAATTTCAGGCTTTCCAGTGGTCCAGCCTCTCACACTGAATGCATACCCAAAGTCTGGCACACAGTAGGTGCTTTGGTCCAGCCTCTCACACTGAATGCATACCCAATGCCTGGCACACAGGAGGTGCTTAATAAATGCTTGTTGAATCTGTAAAATTGCAAAGATAGCTAGATTTAAAAAAAAAAAATTGTCCCTCTAAATTCTCTTGACATGATGCCCTTTCCTCTGAGGGCAGTGTTCCATATTCTGCACCTTTCCAGGGTCTGTCCTAACTTGGTCCTGGGTCCAACCCCTCTTTATCTCCCTAGGCCCCTTCTCTCTTGTCCAGCTAATCTGATCAGTTTGGGGACTCGGAGATTGGAAGGAGAAGGATTTTATAGATCTGGTATAAATCCCTTGTTTTACAAATAAAACTGAGGCCTAAAGAGCTGAAGTCCCTTGCCCATTGTAATGTAACTAGTTAATGGCAAACCTAGGCCTTAAATCCCAGACGTCCTGATTCCTAGGGTCATGGAATCACAGATTTAAGGCTAGAAACGACCTTCATTTTATACATGAAGAAACAGAAGCCCAGGGAGTTCAAGTGATTTGCCTAAACTCATATAGAGCTGGGATTTGGACCCAGGTCATCTGACTTCTAATTCTGCTTCCCACTGCACACCCTCCATGCCCCTTTGCAGGGTTCCCTCCAGCAAACCATCTGCTCATTCAAGCCATGGAGTTGATTACTGGTAAATGACAGATTAATGTGTTTTCTGTCCTAGGTGATAAATTAATATTTTAACAGTGGCCTTCAGTGCCTTAAACCTAAGAAGTGATTAATGGGGGAATTCCTTGTGCTGTCACAGGATGTTAGGGAAGGAAGTTTGGGGGCAGGCAGAGCAAACCCAACATCCCTAAAATCATATTAGTAAAGAGCCACCCACTCTGTCTCAGCATACCCTCTGGTCTTGTGGATACCCACAGATCCAAAGGAGCTATCAGGGCCTTAACCTGATGGAAGTAGAGGAAAGATGACCCTTCTCTTATACTTTTCTGGAAACTGTTCACTATTTTATGTTTAAAGTATTTATTTTAAGTATTGTCAAATTGGAGTGATAGTGATTCTAGGAGATTCTACATGGGTAGGGGAGGGGAGCAGAGTAAGGGGGATGATGATTCAGCAAAGAGAGGCTGGGGAAGTGAGTGGAACTAGTAAGTGACCTGAGCCTAGAGAACTCATTGAACTCAATACCTGTTAGTCATCTCTGAACAGCAAATGAACCAAGAACCGGAAGCATCTTTCAGAGAGGAAGAAAGATTTTAGTGAGGTGGACCAAAAGGAAAGAGTGGTAGTGAGATGAGAATAGATAGGGAATTGGCATCTGGTTCTTGGAAGAACTGAGAAGGTAGAGCTTGGATTCTAGTAAAGATGGCACCAGATACCGAGGCCAGGCACCGCTGAATAGATTAGACCAAGATGCTAGGTGGCATCAAGGGTAGAGAGCTGAAACTGTAGTGGATGACCAGAAGTCCAGGAAGGACTTTTAGGGGCCTAATAGGGAAGTACCTTTCCTGTACTGGAATTAGGACAGTGTCCTAGGACTGCTAGAGTCTGACTTAGTACAGTGTAATCTAGGACCAGCAACAATGACCTAGGAGCTTATACCTTGGAGATAAGGGTAGGAAGCAGGTTTTGGGAGAAACTGCATAATCACACCAGATTTGGAACTATTGCAAGTATTACAAATCCAATATGAATTGAACTAAAAGTCTGAGAAGACTTCTTTAGCATCCAACCCTGATACGATTGAAGGGAGGGAAAGAACCTGGTTGGTAGATTTTGAGCCAACAATTAGTCAGATATTAGTGGAAGTGAGGATTAGGACCTTTGTAAAACTCATTAGCTCCAGAGTGTCTCTCTCTCTGTCTCTCTGTCTCTCTGTCTCTCTCTGTCTCTGTCTCTGTCTCTCTGTCTCTCTCTGTTGTCCCTTCATTTCCTAGTAAAAATTCCTTCCCCCCCCTTAAAAAATACTTTGATGCCTGTTGATCTAAAAGATAGTTTCCCATGAATGAGTTGGGGGCAATCAGTGTGCCTCCAGTGGTCAGGTAAAGTCCTGACAATAGGAATGGACCAACCCCTGAACCTGTGGAAAGTGGGGCAGTTGTTGGGGTGAGAATCCAGAAAGGTCTGGAAACATGGCCAGCTGTGGACATTCTCTCTTTGAGGGTGGGGGTGAGGAGGGAGACTCAGGAGTAGAGGTGTGGAGAACAGAGCTTGGGAACAGATTCAGTGGGCAAAACCGGAGCAATAGCATTAAATTGTCTTATAGGCGTGTTGTTGGGTTGTACCACCAATGTGTACTGCTTGGCTCTCAGCACCCTCCATAATCTGGTCCCACTCTATCCATATATCAGGGCATAATGGAAAGAGGGCTGGACTCAGCCAGGGTCTGTGGTTTGAATACTGCCTCTCCCAGCTGTGTGACTTTAGGCAAATTGCTTAGTTTTCTCATCCATAAAATGGGGAGAATGATTTTACTGCCTTCTTCACAGGGTTGTTGTGAGGAAAGCATTGTAAAGAGCTATCTATACAAATGTGATTTAGCATCCAGGACAGCATCTTCATTTGTCCCCCAGATAAGATTTTGGGCCTTTGCTCATGACATTCCCCTAGCTTGACTGTATAAATGCTGTTTTTCTAGGTTACCTCTTTTTTTTCTATTTTTTATTTTTAGGCAATTGGGGTTAAATGACTTACCCAGGGTCACACAGGTAGTAAGTGTCAAGTGTTTGTTTGATCTGAGGATCAGATTTGAACTCAGGTCCTCCTGACTTTAGGGCCGGTACGCTATCCACTGCGCCACCTAGCTACCCCACAAGGGTTACCTCTTCAAGGAAGCCTTTCCCACCTACCCTAGCCCTCACTGCCCACCAACACATTTTTTTAGCTCCTTAAAGTCAGGGGGATTATCTTTCTTTGTATTAGCCCATAGCCCATAGCACCTAGCACAAAGAAAAAATAGTAAGTGATCAGTGCAGACCGAGATTGGAGTTGGCTAGGGAGCAATAGGTCTGGAAGACCTGGGTTCAGGTTTGACCTTAGACACTTACTAGCTATGTGATCCTGAGCAAGTCACTTA